GACGACGCACGACGTCGACCGCGTTGATCATGTAGCAGACCTTGCCATCTTCAAGGGCCTTGAGCTCCTTGTCGAAAGAGGCCAGGTCATTGACCAGCGACACGTGGTCGCTAACCAGACGTAGGATCCTGGTCATTTTGGGATCCTCAATCACAACGTCGGACTCTAGCGAGAACTTCACACATGCCAAGATATACCTTGCAAACATTCGATGATTAGATGCGGGTCGGACCTTTTGTAACGGGGAGAAGCGCGCGCGTGGGAGTTTGATGAAGGTCGAACTTACGGGACACCTGCATCAATGTTGCGGTAGGACAAGTAGTCTGCTAGGCTGGCGAAGTTCGACTGGGGCGGGACGTGTCGACAAAAGTCCGCCAGTCGGTCAATCACCTCCTGACCTCCGTTGCCGGCGATCTTGTCGTGACTCTTGAGTCCATCTACAACGTAACCGATGAGCGACTGCAGCTCGGACTTGGACCATTCTTTCTCTCCGTTGGATTCAAGGCGACGGAGAAAGTCGTCACGAACAACGCCGAGCTAGAATCCTGGATTAGTGATAACTCGGTGGTAGGGATCAGCTTGCAGGGATGGACATCGTACCTTGTCCTCGCTATGCATCTCCCATGAGTCTGCGGAAGATTTCAGTAACCTCGGAAGGCAAACAGGTGTGCATTCTTACTTACCGTCAAAGATGACAATGAATACAATGGTGGCTGCGAGAAGGCGGGTTCTCTCCTTGTCTGCTTCAGGGAACAGGTACGTGGCAAACTTGGTAAAACGGTCCTCTTCCGGTAGCAAAAGTTCGTGAGAAGCAATCTTGGCAAGGGATCTGCCGTTAAGCTTGACAGCAGTGAACATGCTGGAGTCAGTGCTGAACAACTCCAGCAGCTCTGAAGAGATTCTCAGGCCGGCCTCCCAGTGGCGGCTTTGACGTGCCTTGGGGAATCCCGTCGGCCAAGGCAGACCAGCTCGAACGGGGAAGATGTCAAATCCATTAACATCAGCAGGCTCGTCTTCTCCGTCAGTCGAAGGGGTACGGCACTGCTGGAGCCGCTCGTATCCAGCCAACGGGAGTAGAGACGTCTTCAGATCCAAATAAGGAGCATCGTGGAGCCAGTTGTAGGCGTACGCAATTTGCGAGACATCTTGCAGATTCTCCGGGGCGCAAATGTTCCCTGTGAAAGTATGAGAATGGGATGATATGGGGTAATACGGCACTAAGAGGCGAGCTTACCGTTGACGGAGGACACGCTCAACTTTGATGAAGGCATTTGGGGACTTGGTTATTTCGTTTTCTTGACCTGGTGTGTAGTGTTACATGAGAAACCTTCCCCGTCAGTCGTTGAATTTTGACCCTCTTATACCCTGAAGCTCATGAGCTACCAGACCGCCCATAATCATGAGAAACCGGGCCATGACTTAGAAGTGAAGTTGTCAAAGGCATGGCTAAACCACGGAAGAGCGTCCCGGGGAGTTTTGCAGGGGCCGAAGATCCATGCAGCGGCCATATTAAAATGGAATGGATCTTGCAGAATAGCAATATTTGAGTGTCTTGGACGTGACCCGAAACGTAGGGGTGGCTGATAAGAAGGCTTCGGTTACTGCTGCCAGGTACTTTTGTTTACATGGCTTCCAAAGTAGTATCATAGAGGGACCCGCAGCCCATTTACAACGAAACATCCTTGATAGGAAGCAGTTCAGACCCTGCTTGTCTTCCTAACACTAGAGGCTTTTCATATATAATCGGATTCTTAGATTTTGGTCCGCCTAATCGCTACCGCAGTGCCATATCTTGATTCTTGAGCTTGTTGTTAGAATCGTCTGTTCAAATCCCATCTTACACCATCTTACAATGGCTTGGAACCATACCAACCTCGCTCTTGACGCCCTGAAGTCTGGCATCATCTTTGCTACCAGCCTTTGGGTCTTATTTTGGCTTGCACAATGCATTAGAAACATCTATTTTCACCCACTCTCCAAGTTTCCAGGACCAAGATTAGCCGCGGCCACCAGCTGGTGGTCGACATATCAGCAGACTATTGTCAATAGATCGATGCATCATATTTGCATAGATCTCCACGCTAAATATGGTACTGAGCTGTCCCTGACTTCGCGTTAATTGATCATTCTGACTTCTGAGTCCAGGAGATATCGTCAGAATTGGACCCAACCGGGTAAGAAGCTTGAAGCTTGACGAGCTCTTGAGCGCATGGTTACTAATAACGATATAGCTTCACTTCAATCATCCTGACGCATACTCTGGGATCTACCGCACCAAGTTTGACAAAGATCCGTTCATGTACGCTCTTCTAGGTGGCGACGGCGCCACTGTCACTTTTGTCAAACATCAAGACAACAAAAATCGCAAGGACATTCTCCATCCATTTTTCGCCAAGAGCTCTGTATATAACCGAGAGCAACTGATACAAGAAAATGTAAGGACCTTCTATCACAACTAATCAAACTCCTCCATCCTATCTCTCATTGAACTGGTGTTTAGATCGATAAGTTCTGCTCAAACTTGGTCAAGCATCACGAGAAGGGCGTCTCTGTCAACATGAGTCTCGCTTTTCGGTGTATCGGCCTAGAGACAATCACGTCCATCTGCTTCGGCAAATCGGCAGCTTGCTTCGAGCATGAAGATTTTCATAGCCCCATTCTGGAGTCAATGGAAAGTATTGTCGCCTGGTTCATGGTGTTCAAGCACTTCTGGCTGGTACGGCAGCTCATCCTGTGGGTACCGGAATGGGTTGGCCTTACCTTCTTCAAAAGCGGTGTGGCATTCGCGCAGATGAAAAACGTACGTGTGGTGTCTGTTCCTTTTAGATTCTAGCACCCCCGTTAGTGAAGACTCCGAGTAACAATTTTCTCGGTTTTAGATGTTTGCGGAACAAATCGACAACATCAGGGCTAATATAGGCAAGCCCAGCCCGGATGAGAAACCGATCATCTACGGTGCCCTCACAGATCCAGAAAACTATAGCCCGACCAGACCTCCACCATCTCGTGCCTCATTGATGGAAGAGGCAATTGCACTTGTCATCGCCGGAACCGACACAACTGGAGCAACCATGACGCTTGGCACGTATCATCTGTGCAAGCACCCGGAGAAGTATGCGAGATTGAAGGCAGAGCTGAAGGAAGTATGGCCTGATCTGAAAGGCCCTACCCCAACGGCGCAGCAGCTGGAGAAATTACCCTACTTGGTAAGCGTTATACCGTCATTCCTGAATAAGCCTAACACGAAGGCAGACATCGGTCATCAAGGAAGCACTGCGGATGGCGCCGACAACTACCTCTGAAAACTCTAGGCTCGTGCCTCCTCACGGAGCAAGGATTGGCGGAGCAGAAGTCCCCGGAAATGTGAGTCTTGACCTGATACAGAGTAAGTGATTAACTGAAAATTGACACGAATTCTAGACGATTGTTAGCATGGGAGTCTTGTTCCCCATGCAACATCCGTGGGCATTCGAGACCCCCGATCAGTACATCCCTGAGCGATGGCTTGTAGCAGACGAGGCTGCTAAACAGAGGCTGGACCGCTATTTTGTTCCGTTCTCCAAGGGACCACGCAGTTGTCTTGGTATCAACTTAGCGTGGTGCGAATTGTACCTAGCTTATGCAAACCTTTTCCGTCGTTTCGAGCTGAGCCTAGACGGGACCAAGGACGATGATTTCGATTGGATCGATGTTGGTCTTGCATTGTTTAAGGGTCACTTACGATGCTATGTAACTCCAGTCACAGAGTAGATTAGAATAGACATTGCGCGTTTTCGTGTAAGTCATTAGTATAAACTTGGGTAAGCTATTCACCAAGTGAAGACGAGCTATCTACGGCACCTGGATCTGTGCTCTTAAGATAACCTCACCATCGCTCGACATATATCCCGTCAACTGCGGAATGGCGTCAGTACATAGGTCTCCGGTTTTATCCAACGCTGATCCCTTTGTGAACTTTTCGATCGGGTGCGTTAGAGGTAATTAAGACGGTAATACTAGAAAATGATGAGGAAGAATACGTGATACGTTACTATCCCTCATACAGAATACGTATCTATGGGCTGACACCATTCCGCAGTTGATGGAATAGTCCGCAGTTCGCGATTCCATTGTCACACCCGGGTTACGGTTGTATTCTTAATTGAAACCACACATGCATTTCCAGGATTGATGATCCTTGGATCATGTCGGGGGGTCCCATACCAACTCCGTTTGAAAACCGAGGCCCTCGTCAATAAGTAGGAGTCAACATTACACTGCCTCGTTGCCGATGCCATGACTTGACAAAAGTTCCTGCAGAAGTGAGCCCTGGGATGTACTCTACATGCTCTTCAAATGCTCAACTTCGCATTCGCATTTGACCCACGTTCTCCTACCGGAAATCCGGCATCCCGTGGAGCCCGTAGCCCCCGGGGAGCGTTCAGCATTTCCGGAAGGAAGATCCTGGCAGCCAAATCAGATGCAAGGTCAGACGCGATGCGATTACATGTTATCCGTACGACATGTAAATCTCATGTAGCGTTTCAACAACAGCCGAAGTTGGCCGAAGACTATCACAACATCTGGGGTGAAGGGAACTTCTGGCACCAGGGTCGCGAATCAGAATGATACTCTTGTCTGCCGACCGTAAGAAATCAGTCTGTCACCGCCAACATTTGGACGTCCCCAAGCTGATCCGATTGTCTATCAGAATCCTTGCGAGCAGATAAGAGTCTCGGCATTTGACTTGGAATTGTACATCGGGCTTTCGTTGACCGAATATGCCGAAGACGCCTAAACATGTTGAAATTTAATTGACTCATTGTTATGTTTCAAGGCAACGTGTAGGTATGCTGAGGCGAATAGAGATTCATAACCTCAGCTCGATTTCTCATATCAAAACCCCCGCAGTGATCTACGTTTCTCAAGTATTGATATAAAGCAGCTAGAGAAGATGTCTGCAGGCGTAAGAAGCTTGCCAGTGTGCCCATGGATTGTTTCATCATGGCCCTCACAGGACTCTAAGCCTTCACAGGCTGACCGCTAGAGCTGACAGCACCACAGTTGCCGACAATGACATTGTGGCTGCCGTCAAAGCTTTGGCCAGCAGACCAAGTCTTGCAGATATGGGCTGGCTGCTTCGGGTCGCTGCAGATGTCCACCCAGATGCAGTCGTGAGCGATAGCCTGCGCAAGGTCGGCGACGTGACCGCATGAGACCTCGAGGTCGTAGTAGTTGTCATTACAAAGAGCGATGGCCGCTTCACCGACACACTGAGTACGAATGCACTGGCGGGCTCTGACCTTGCAACCTCCGTTGACGGCGCGGAGATTGTTCACGCCAGTGTTGACCTGAAAGCCATCTACCTTGCCCCACTTCTCGAAACAATTGGGGGCCTAGAGCATCATCTCGTCAGGTACTTGCTAGTCAAAGTGAAGATTTAGGACGTAGAACGTGGTACATACTCTCTTCTCGAGGGATCGCTTGGCATTCTGGGCTTCGTTGTAGAAGGCCGCGGCAACCTCAGGGGTGGCGGGAGTGCCATCCACATCGACGGTACCGTTGAAGATGGACGTTCCATGCTCTTCCTGGACCTTTGCTTCGATATCCTAAGGATGTTGTAAGTAAGAGGAAAGTTCGGCCCCACGAAGAAAAAGAAATCATCTTACGAGTAGGTCGGATCCCCAGACCTCAACCACAGGGCCGCCCTCTTCCAAGACTCCAACCCATCCGGCCTCACCAATGGGGAAAGGTAGAGGTGCGTATTTGACTTCAACATCGCGAGGCTAGACACGTCATATCAATTATCCCTCAAACATTCGGCTTCTTGCTGGCACTCACCTCGCTAGGGATGGCTGAAGAGGCCGCCGTTGCGACGAGGGCAAGAATGACAGCGGAGGTCTTCATAATGAATTTTGAGAGCGAATAACGGTAAGTGAAGCTGGATTGGGGAAGAGAGCTGTGGTAGGCTTGATGATTCGAGAATTGATCTTACTTTGAGCGAGATGGCCTCGACTATTTATATCGCTCTGGTTATGAACAAAGCCCGCAGTCATCGGCGCTGTGATAGATATCTGCAACGTGGAAGCTCAGAAAAATCGATAATTAGTCGTCGAAGAATGGAACTTTGGTGTTGAACGGGAGCTTTCCTGCCTCACGGCCCACTTGATTGAGAGTATGTATGCAAAGCTGACGGCTGGGGGAGTCGTGTTCATCTCAACACACCCCACTTATCGTGTGTGGGAACTTGGGTTTAGCTACTAGTAATGGCATCAAAGAGTGAGGCTTATTCTGTTCCCATCCTTACGCTTGGAAGTATAGGAAATGCCACGCCCTTCGACGAGGACCAATCCATGACCCGGAACTTCTGTCGACCGGATCAAGTCAACATCGAGAGGGTCCACACGGGTGACTACGCTCTTGATGTTCAGCTTTGATCGTTCGAACAGTCAACTTTTACCCCCTTCAGCAAAGCAACCAGTTCCTCGGACTTCTCTTTTGGTTGTGGGATTGAACGTTTGTAAGTGGTGGAAAGTTAACTACCCCTGAAACTATCGGACTTCGGTTGTCACTTTGTGGCAACTGGCGACCCTCCCAAAACCATCCGAAAGAACTTAAATCCTTTTAAGCATATGAGCTTGTTTTTGAGCGACAAGATGCTCCGCGAGTGATTCAATGAGACAAAGCTGGGCACCAAGCAAATTATCTCGGTTTCTCGACCGCTGTATCATCATCTCAAGTTCCGTTTTGTTCAGCTCATAGCAAAGAGTTTTGACAGCATTGAAAACCTTTCAAAATTTCTGCAACATGAGACGTGGTCACGCTGCCAACGGAAAATATTGGGACTTTCGTCGTGACCCCTGGCTACAATCCGGGGTTCGCTGCTGAGCCGCTTTCTCGGTTCGCCGGAGCCAGGGACGTTGCAAGGCTGCATCTAGGTTCGTTCCGAGGCGGCCGCGGATTGAGAGATTTTTCTTCGGGTCTAGGCATGACCACGCCGCTTCTAGTTGTTGAGGGCGATTACAAATGGAGAAGGTGCCAAGACTTTCAGATCACCCGCAAACACCAAAGTTCTTCCAACGATGAATTTTGAATCGAAACCTCAATACCGCAGACGGCCAAGAGAAATTTGATCTCAGGCCCATGTGTAAGTGAGGCGACGATGCCTAAATGAAACCGCTCAAGTCAGCCTGGTGGCCGGTCTTCAGAGCGTTTAAGATGGGACTTTCGTAGCACAGCATCTCACTTACCTTAGGTAAAGGAAACAAATGCAGCTTATATCGTGACCGGGATCACAAACATGCAGGCAGCCGGGAGTTGTCCAAATCCTCATAAGCTCACTCTTCTATGAGCACTAAGCGCCTTCTGTTCCATTTGAGACTATTTCACTGAGCTCAGAATATGGCCGGTGTCCACAGCACTGTCAGAGTCTTGAGACTTCGGAAAATCTTATTAATTCAAGCCCCATACAAGTGAATTCTGTTAGAGTAGCTAACGGCTTCAGACATTGCCTCTTTCCAATGAATGGGCCAGTGTCATTGACTCCCTATTGCTACACAAGCTGTCACCTTAATTTGCATGCCATCCATCGAACATCTTTCCTTTTCCCAACTCTTCAAGTTGTTCACATATGATACCTAGCTATGGTAACGATCGGAACCTCGAACCTGAACTTGGAAGTCTCAAGAGGGAAAGATGTCCCTGTAGGCTCGGGCTTGTTGACATCCAATTCCATGGATGCTCGCAGACTCATCAATTCATCCGCAACATCCAAGTCGTAATCAATGCCATGCACGATTCAAGAAGTGCACCATCGGCATTTCCTGGATGCGAACGCGGTAAAGTCTCAATCCACGGAAATCCAACTAATGCGGGTGACCGGCGACAATTTCAAACAAAGACAGCCTTATAAAGGGCCTCGGTGATCAAGTAATTCCCGAACCCAGTATATCTAGGTAGCCTAGGGCGAAGATTGAAAAACCAGGTTTCTGGTTCCTGGGTTGGTAAATTTCCGACAGTTCGGACCACCGAGCATCTTAAGCTTTCTACAACACGAGTTGAACTTCGAGCATGTTTCACCTTTTGAGGCGACACAAGAAAGTCCGGGGCACGAATCGATCGATGGCCTGTCGTCAGCACAACATGAGTCAACCGCCTTCGAGACATGACATGGTCAGCCTGAGTGAGCTGAATACCGGGTTCGCTTTCGACTTGTCTGCATGTACACAAGTCTGGCACTTGAATAAATACCTAATTACATAGCTGCCCTCAACGCCCAACAATGTTCAGCATTACGCAACTTCAGAATCATCAATCAGACTATCTACTTCAAAAAAGACCTCTCAAACTCGTCGTTCACATAGCAGTCATCATTGTAATTCCGTACAAGACTTCTGCAACCAACATGAAGACGATTCCGTATGCTACCCTATTGATGGCTTTGGCCTACTTCGCAAATGCGTTGCCTCAGACGCCTGGAGAAGGTTGCGACTCTGTTGCGATTTGTAATGACGTGTGTGGCAAGCAAGGAATGGTGAGTAACAACCACCAAGCATTATTGGCGTCTCAACTTTCAGTGAGTCGTGAGTAAGTCTCTGGTCTGATCACAAGTCCTACAGAAACGCGGCGGATCATCATGCACTGGAAACAATTCGTCCAGTTGCGTTTGCGTACCCAAGTGATTGCGACATTACCAAAGACATGAGTTCTGCTTTTTACGAGGATATGGAGCCCGGAGTTTTGCGATTTACTTTTGTCAGCACATTGCCAAGACTATGAAGCATTTTAGAGGCACCACGAGTAGTAGTTACTGAGACGAAATGGATGCGATTCTGCAAGATACAGCTTCAAAACGCCCTTGGGGACTTGACACCTCCAGTGACACATCACCCAGAGCCAAAAAGCTCGTTTGCACGTGTAAGAAGCTTGCAGAAGCAAAATATTGGGCCCTGGCCAGGATTCGAACCTGGGACCTCTTCCAATCCGGCTGAGAAGACTCGGAAGTCTTGTTGAAGCCCTAAGGAAGAATCATACCGCTAGACCACCAGGGCTAGTGATCCTGAAGCATCGTACGATGTTCTCGATACTGGATTCGTACCGTAGGTTTGGTCAAGAAGCGTGGTGGGAGACGAGTTGTGCGGTTGTGGAGTCAGGGCGGGCCGTGATGAGGGCACTCACGTCGAGAGTAGTCACAACACACGGGTAATGCGTGGTTGTAATGCTAGCTTGGCAAAATCGCGCTTCAGGGTGAACGGTGCTGAAAACCCACTCTTCTGTTGGTCATATATAAGGATGTGACCATTGTTTTAAGTGTCCGATGTCCCTCTTTCTTTTTCCGACTGGCTTAGTTCTAGTCAGAGCATCAAATGATGAGGAGCATAAAGACACACATTGGGACTGTCACAGCCAAGGGGATCAAGTGTGGTTGAAATTAGGTATAGACATTATATGGTTTGTATCTACTCTTGCCGGATACGGCGGTTTTTATATACCAAAACACAGACCCGAGCGCCTCTATAACTCGAACATTAGGACGGAAGCCAAAAGGGGTTTACCACCTAAAGTGGAAGACTCCCTTCAACCAGCTCATGACCGAGGCAACCATGCCATTGATATCACCACCGTTCCTGAGTTGATCGGCGATGTTGTTAAGGCGGTCCTTGGTAGCGAGCCACTTGTCCAAAACAGCCTGGTCGGGAGCGGTGAAGGTGCTTCCGGTACGAGGAGGCAGGGCCTTGGTGCACTCAGTCAAGTCGTTGATGTTGAAGACACCAAGAAGAGAGAGACGGATGTACTCGCGAGCGTAGTCCTGGTTCCAGTGAGACTGTCCGCCCTGGCCAGCGAAAGCCTGGAACTCGGAGCTGATGCGGGAGTCCTTGGCGAGAACGACGTCGCTGGCAAACTTGAAGACACGAGCGGGAGCGGAGCCGAGAGTCTCCTTATAGAACTTGACGTCCCAGACACCGGGGGTGCTGTCCTGCGGGTCGCCAGCGCGGCTGGGGTCCACGAAGCGCTGCTGGCTGGTCGTGTGAGCGCCGATGAGTGCGGTGAGACCGTGGGGCTTGATAGTCTTGTTCTCAAAGAGCTCGATCAAGAAGTCGGCAGAGCCGGTGACGGGAGGCAGAAGGTTGAGGGGAGCAGGGACGGAGGAGTCCTTGCGGCCGACGTATGTACGAATGCGGGGACCCAAGGGGCAGCTGTCACGAAATCAGTTCACGCTCAGACTGTATGACCAAAGGTCCGGATGACTTACACAACAGTGGCTACAGTTGCGGAGAACTGAATGAGATCGGCCATTCCGATTCCAAACTGCTTATAGCGGTCGAACCAGACCTGGGTCTGGGCAACAATCTCCTCGAGACCATGATTCTCTCCGCGTGCTATTTCCTCTGAAGCGAGGATGATAGAGCCATCAGCTCCGCCGAGGTTGCCAGTTCCCTTTGACCAACCGCCGGCATCGTGGAAGCCAAGACGGACGGCAGCGCGGGCGAAGTCGGTGCAACGGCCGGATCTGCCTCTGAAGGTACCCTGAAGATCGTTGGCGATGTACTTCCAGATGCAGCAGGTGTCGGCAGCGCAAGCCGCTGAACCCTTTGGTGCGAGAGTGCCTGATCTCCCAACAGTTGGGTAGGCGTCGTCACTCTCGGGGTTATCGAAACCGGTAAGGAGCTTCTTGACGCTGCTTCCGACGGCGGTGAGCTTGGAGTCGTCGAGGGTGATGAGATCGCCAATGAGCTCGTTAGAGTCTCCGTCGTCAGCGCCGTTACCGTCTACATCGGCGCGAGAGCGGATCTCGGCGAATGTGTTCTTCATGCCGGGGTAGGCGATGACGGGAGTAGCCGCGAGGGCGGTAGTAAGGAAAGTTGACACACGCATGGTGAGCTTGAAATAGTTGTGTACCTGGAAGA